CTTGGCTTGAATATTAGGTGTTGCCAGTTTTACTGGTGAGTCCCATTGAGTGTAAGCGGCTTTGACCAGCAGGAGTACTCCTTTGTCTTGTCTGCCGTCCACTCCATCTTTCCTATAAGCTCAGTAGTCTCTGGGCTTCTCTACATTTTGCTGATGCCTCATCCAAGTTTTAGTGATAGCTATTATCACCGAGTTTGGGTGCTTGTCTCCAACTCTCCCCATTTTCCCCTAACACTGCAGGCGTGAGTGTAACACATTGTGATGGTGTCCACCTCCGCCTTCATACAACTCTTTCCTATTGCTTGAGATGTACCCTCGGTCGTAAGGCCCGAGGAGCTATTACGTTTTTTGAAACTATGTTTGCGGGTACCGGGCGATCAGGCTCCGTGAACGACCAGGCTATACCCCCCACAGACTTTGTGATGTCTTTGAGCGTTAACCCAAATTCCTCACCGAGTCTATTTTATGGGTGTGAACTTGCGCAACGGTTGACTTTGATGGACAACCCTGCGTTGGCATGCCTCGCCCACTTCCACTCCATGCGCCATTGGTGCGTTTAGTTTTCTCAGGATAACCCTGAGCTTCCTTTGTTGCATTATTCCTGTTGCAGGAACAATGGGGATGATGCCCCACTGGGCGTGATGAACTGTATCAGGGGTGACTTTGATGCACCCCCTGGTGTTCATCTCCACTGCAACAGCCCCAGAGAGCAGAAGGTCCCGGCTGTATGTGCTGCAAAATACTACTAGTATAGCTCTGGGTCTGGTTGTCTGGTTCTGCCTCCACAGCCAAACCCTGTGGCACTTAAAATAGGGCATATTGACCGGTATACCCGCCAGTCGAAAAACATCCTAAACGTGTCTGCGATCCGCCTCTCGTCGCGCTTTAGTATCGCGAATCAATGGCTCCGCAAAGTTATGCAGCAGTACGTTTCGCGTTTGACCCAGTAGAGCTTGTGTGCTGCGTTGAAGTTCTTGGAGATCTTTCACCAAACGTTCTACGCGTGCAGTCACCTCTATAGACGCCAACGGTTTAACCGTAGCCCCTTTGAGAGGTTTCTTTCTCTTTGTGCTCGTGATTTTCTTCTTTCCATTGCTTTCCTTCATAGTATGTTTAACGTCAGGCTTCACCGCCTCCACCTGCTTCGCTGCTGGTCTCGGCTCGCGGATATTGGAGGTTAGTGGTGAACTGGTGGTCACAGCCCCTACCAAGGCTGCTTTCAGAATGCATGAACATTCCTCTATCAGAGCCTCGCAGTGTGCGCATATCCACTTCAATTTTCCATGCTGAAGGTGCAGCGCATAGCACTGCTTCGACATCTTGGAGCATTTTTCGTGGTACCTCGAGCCACATCTATTACACTGGATACCATTACTAACCGCTCTACCGCAACCCCTGGCTCCGCACGTGTCGGGGTGCTGTACCATGGTTGCCTCAGTAGCAATGAATATAGATCACGTATCGTACGGAAAAAACAATATGTAGGAAAAACACCTCAAGTTGCAAAAATCCCTGAAAAAACATACTCAACCAAAAATGACTGAAGCCCGCGTTACAACGGGACCAAAAATTAGCAAAAAGTAAAACTGGCCGACCATTTGGGTCGACTCTACGATACAATGACTGGGAAAAAGCCTATTAAATATCTACTAATATTTCACTCTTAACTATATGACGCTTTGAAAGTGTGGCCCTTTTGAGGTCACAAAACGAAATGAATAATGAAAGTGGATATTTTACCATATATAGTTTGAAATATCTATTGATATTTCACAATTAGCTGGGCAAAAATACTTTTGATCACGAGCACTTTGAAAATTCAAACCGGGCGCTAACGTACCGCAAGGTTAGTTCAGTTCAGTTCAGTTTGCACAGGACGATGTGTGGCCCGGGCTAATCTTGCGTCCAGATTGACGTGTTGTTGGCTGTTCTTGTGGCTTCCAACACTGCGAGTCAATAGGTTTTTTTCTGAAAGGTAGAAAGTAAGGTGCAGTATCACGTCCTGGGCAATGGTGCTCGGGACTAATAGGCACTTACCATCAAACTGCTTCAGGGAAGGTAGAAGCCCAACAGTCATCTAATGCCCTCTTGAAGGCAATGACGTTCGAGCAACTTACCACCTTTTCTGGCAGACTATTCCAGTAAGGTATTACGCGACTTGTGAAGAACTTGGCTCGAATGTCCAGTCTTACAAGACTACGTTGTAGCCTTAAACTATGTCCCCTAGTGCCACTTGAGGGGATGAACTGGAACATGTCCTCGAACTTAAGTCCGGAGAGCCCGTTGATGATCTTAAAGACTTCTATTAGGTCCCCCCTTACTCTTCTTCTTGCAAGAGAGAATAGGTTTAGGTCCTTGAGTCTCTGCTCGTAGCTCTTACCCCTTTGTCCCACCATCATTCTTGTAGCCAGACGTTGCACCCTTTCTAGACATTCGATGTCTTTCCGAAGGTAGGGTGCCCACGCCTGAACACAATACTCCAGGTGAGGCCTAACTATGGCTTTGTATAGAGGGACGAGAACCTCGGGTCTCCTACACGTAATCGTGGAGTGTACACGAAATAGTTCCCTTCGAGCTATGCTGGCTGCCCTCAGACATTGTTGAGAGGGTTTGAAGTCATGGGGTATAATTACTCCCAGATCCTTAACTTCTCGCTCTCTCTTAAGCTGGATATCGTACTGTATGTCAAGTTCAGTTTCTGCTGTTAGAAGCTGACACTTAGCTAGGTTTAGCGGAAGATCCCACTTTTCGGACCACCGTATAACAGCCTGCAGGTCCTGATATACGTTCGTACCCGCCACTTTGAAGTCGTCCGCGAACATGAAGCACGGGTTGTTGATTTCCCGTGGTAGGTCGTTGACGAATATCAAGAATAGCAGTGGGCCTAGCACAGAACCCTGGGGGACACCGCTAGTCATGTTGGCCGGTATCGATAGTTGCATACCAACCTTGACCTGGAAGGTGCGGTTAGTTATAAAGCAGTAGACCCACTTTCTAACTTTCCCCCCTATTCCCAATAGTTGTAATTTATGGTCTAAACCCTGATGACTTACCGAGTCAAAGGCTTTGCTAAAGTCTAGGTAACCGACCTCGACATGCTGTCCCTCGTCTAAGCGTCGTGTGACCTCATCGAGGAAGGCAAGCAGATTCGATAGACAAGACTTCTTCTTAATAAAGCCATGTTGAGCTGGCGTTAATAGCTCATGCCCTACGAGGTACGCAGCCATACGCTTGCGTACAATCCTTTCTAGACATTTGCATAGGACCGACGTCAGACTTACTGGTCTGTAGTTTTCGGCCTTTTGCTTTGACCCAGATTTATGCAGAGCAACTACCGTCGCTCTTTTCCAATCTCCCGGTATCTCGCCTTTATCTAGAGACGTCTGAAACAACTTTGACAGAGGCCCTTGGAGCATCTCCGCTAGAGGTTCAACAATAGCGGAATGGATGCCATCCGGTCCCACTCCCTTGAACTTATTCATGGTAGCTAACTCGTGAAGAACTTCGTCCGGTGTCACAGTTATTTCAGTCAGCTGTGATGTCGCACTGGGATAATCTGCCATAACCAACGGTGATGGCTGTGTGTACCCCCCCTTAAAGAAGCCATATGGTATTTGCCTTTTCTTCCTCGCTTAGGACAAGACATCCATCAGTGCTTCTAACGTTCCAATCCCCTCTCTTGATGCCTTTTGGGATTAGACATAAGCATATAACCTCTTTGGGTTCTGTTTTGCTTTTATCGCAGTCCCACGCTCACAGTCGTACCTGGCCCTTCGCTGCATCGCCTGCGCATGGTTTCATGCTGCCTTGTAGCTAGCCCATGCCTGATACGAATTGAGCCGTTTGTAAAGCGCCCACTTTCGACTCCTTGTGGCCAGAGCCCTGTCTAAACATGGTTTCCACCATGGAGGCCGTTGATTGAGTCTCCTAGGCCTCAGGGGCGCAAACTCTTCGGTGAGCTTCAGCAAACTACCTTTAATTGCAGCCCATTTCTCTTCGACGGTAGGATTAACTGTTAACGGTTCCCAGCTTAAACCTAACGCTGCCTCTAAAAGACTCTGTCCTTGAACATTTCCATAAAAACGAACCATTTTGATCCCTCGTTTACTGTACTGTACCAGTACCTTTAGCTGAAAGACTTCATGGTCGCTTCTGCCTAGGGGGACCTCTATCCTGAGACTAACGACATCTGACCTTGCTCGAGAAGTAGCTAAGTCAAGGATTGAGGACCTCTGGCTGAAACGGAAACGAGTGGGTTCCCTTACATGCTGAACCAGCGCATGCAAATGGATCCACTCCACTAGTGCCCTCCTTGTAGTTCCTCTAGGAGCTCGTTCTTCTTCCCAAGCTATTTCAGGAAGGTTAAGATGAGAAACCTATGGGCCCTTCAAAACACCTCTTGTAGGGTACGCATCAGTTCATTATCCTCAGTCGCCGTTGAGTTGGGTGCCCTGTAAACGCAGACAATGCCTATAGGTCCCGATCCAACCCTTACGTGGCAAG